TCCCGAAGCTCGTGCAAGGGAGGTGTCGAACAAGCCCCATTCATGTCGAAATTCGGGCTCTGGGGGCTGCGTGTTTGCTTTCCGTCAGGCTGGCGAGGATTGAGGTGATTCGCCCAAGATGCCCAAGGGTATCCATCCCCATCTTGGAGAATGTGACGCATATGGTTTGGGGGTACTCATTCTTCCATCCAGGTGACTGGGATGGGACCCGTTCCTAATTGCGGCCCTTGCCCTGAATCCTGCGCACCAAGAGCCAGGTCGGCGGAATGGCGCGGACATCAAACTCCACATGCTCACAATCACCCGCGCCTCCCGACACGCAAAAAGCCATGTGCCCCTGAGGGTGCACTCTAGCTGCAAACTAAGTTAGCTTACTGCGCATCCAAACACAGGGTAGGTTTCCGGAAAGTCGGGGCACATCAGGGTTCACACTTGGGTGCATGGCGGCTTTTGATGGCTTGAGCCAAACGATCCAAGCTATCAGAAAGTTTGCCCCAAACCATTTGTAGGGCGAGCGCGCCATTTCAGAGCAAGAAAATCCTTCACATGCTAGGTCTTTGGCCTGGTCCGGAAAATGCGCGCCAAAGACTACGGCACAAACAACTGATGGTACCTAGCAAAAGGAAACAGATACAAACACGATTTCTCACCTGTCTGTTTTTGAACATTCTAGGCGAAACGACTCGGAGCAACCCCGAACTGTGCTCCACCCTTGTGATATGGTCAGTGTTTCCTTGGCTGGGTTGATTGTATGGGGCGGCATCCCTTTTGCAACCCGTGCGCAGAAGGGCAACCAACGCATGGTACACCGATGGCCCACTCTTCGAGCGCCAACTTCGAGGCTCGAAGCAAGCTCACCCCATCGCGCCCTTTGGGCCGCCACCACCAGGACGGGGGAGTTGGGGGAGAAGCGAACGCAGGTGCGCCGCCTCTGGGGCTCATCTGCCTGCACGATGCGAGTTGCGCGATGCCTTTTTCAGTGGAAACTGGGAGTCCCAGTGGACTTCCCTCGCTGAAGCGAGGCATCCCGAAATGATGTCCAAAGCTTTTGGGTCGATGGTTGCATCAATGCTTTGTCCAAAGTTGTTGTTTTGGAAACTGCATACATCCCCTGACCTTCCAAGGCTATCTAACGAAAAAGCACCAAACTGGGCTGCCCAAACTGGGATGTTGCAACCAGGGTTGTTGACAATGAGGAGGAATCCCCATATAATCTCAATATGTGACCCACAGTGGCACACCAATACGACACGGTCAACCAATACCATCTGACATAAGCAGTCGGGGAGGGATTGATTTAGAACAGCAAAAAGTATCGCCCCATTTGCTTAACTAACCGTGGATTGATCAGAGGTCGGCTACTAAATTGATGCTCGGATAAGTTTTCAAGCCCGGGACCTGGGGAAGCAGCTTGAGGTGCCAACATCCTGTCCCCCTAACGGTCCCCCTCTAAAACATGGTTCGCGGGACCTGTCATATTAGGAAGTGATTCCCAGTCAACATGTTGCTAATGGAAATGAGCAACGTGAAGGAAATCCCCCGGCGCAACTTCTCTCAGAGGCTCGGGGAGAAAAAAAGAAGAAAACAAAACATGCCGTCGGGGCAATCAAGGCGCGTGTCTGCCAACGCAACCGGCACCCAGGATGGCGCTTGGATGTGGACGGCCCTCAAAGGTGTATATCGCAGACCTCCAGTGCCATGGGAAAAAAGGTGCCAATTTCTTGGCAGGTTCACAGGGCCTCCAAGCCAAACACGCAACCACATGCGGGAGGGCGGACCCCAGCGAGCTAACAGATTTGCCTGCGGGTAGTGCACCACGATCGGGTCCAGCCTGAGATGCGGTGTGGCCCAAAACTCCCGGCACGCTACCCCATGGTTCGGTGTGCCTTCTGAGGTACCATTTGTTTGGTGGTTCTTGAGGGAAACCAAAAGGAAAACCCCCATTTTTGTGAGTCCCTTAAGAAAAGCTTTTATACCCTTACACTCAGCCTAGCACACGACTCTTTGGCTCTCGGCGGCTTTTCCGCGAGATCCCAGAGCTCAATGCGGCCATCATCCATGGCCTGAGTCGACGCTGGGAGGGTGTCCCATATCCCCCCCCCTCATCGCACCAAACAGCATCAAACAGGGCTGTGGGGAATGACCACCTCTGTGATACAACAGGAAAGCCTTCCCAAAGACTATTTTGTTGATAGAAAGGGGGATTCCCAAATGTATCACAGAAGTGGTTGATCCCACAACCCTGGCATCAAACAACTTAGCTTCGAACAGCGGCCCGTCAAAAGCTGAAACGGTTTAGTGCGAAGGGGGCCCTAGAAAAATTACGAAAACAAAATGCAACCCATTTTCTTTCGGCTTGTGTTGGGGGAACCAACAAGTACTGTACCGATAGGGTGGTCACGTAGTCGTCCAAGCATGAACTTTCCAGAACAAAACTCCGCTCCTAAACAACGAGTTGAATTTGTGAAAGTGGGCATCCATTGGCAACCACCCATAAGAAAAGGCACATCCCCGCCCCCCCCCCAAACAAAAAAATAAACGGGAAAGGCGCTCAAGAACTTGGGTTCTTGGAGCTTGGAGGTTCAGAGAGACATTCAGTCGCCCCTTAATCTGGAAATAAAAGTTTCGCCTTTTGGGGCCATGACAAAACATGGACGGGAAAACCCAGAGGTCATTTCAGGTCAATTCGCTTTGGGCCACTGTGTCTACGGGAAGGACTTCTCACTTCTGCCTTTGAGGCCCGTGCTGCCGCGAAGGACGTGGAGTTCTGCGGCGCCCACACCACCTCGCGGTCTGGGGGCGGGCTGAACCACATGGAAATTCTGGGCCGCCAAAAGCAACTGGCACCCTCCATGGATTTTTTGCACCACGTTTGAACCCCAAATTCGACATGTGATATGGGTTGAGGAAGAAAAGAAGGACTCCGCGCCAGAGTAGCCGAGCAACTCATTGGCACGGCTTTTGCTGTAGTTCGGGAACTGGTGTTCGGGTACCGATGTTAGCATGTGTTTCTAGGATAGTGAAAGAAGTACCCCAACCTGGCAGAAGTTTGGCAGGAAAAGCATGCAGCCCTTGTTCGAAGACCCTTTGCATGCTTCCGGGAACAAACACCACATTGCAAGATTAAAGGTTTAGCCTGCCGGATTGATGAATCCTCAGGCTGGTGGGTGGGTGGGGCTCCTCAAACTGAAACCCTGTCACGCCCTTTCTTGATGCCACAAGAACGGCTTCCGCCGGGTCAACGAGGGCCAGCTCTGGCTCCCCAAGCAAAGGAGTTCAAATTGCAACATAAAGATTTGCGGGTTGCTTGATTCTTCCGAAGCTCTCCCAAGTTCACAGGCCAGCTGGCTTTGGCCCGCAAACAATGAGGGTGGTTCGGCAAGGCCTGGCTGCTATCCCGAGCCGTGTTTCCCACCCGCAAAGGGAAGTGTATGGGGAAGGGCCGTTGATTGGCGGCTACACCCCGGTGACTTTAAATATTGAAGCCTGCCCTCCATGCACTTCCTTCCGCATAGTCTCTGATAGCCTCTTGCTCTTGCTGGGCAACTGGATGCCCCTAGGCGTGCGAGAAAGATCGCAAAAGAAGCCAAAAATAGCAACCTGCAGCTTGGCTTGTATCTTTCGAGCCCATTCGTCACGCTGTTCATCCGTGGCGCCAGCCCACCTAATCGTCACACTTGGGGCCTTTCTGAAGCCACGCTCAGCAGACCCACACGTCTGCAATAGTGGTCTTGTGAAGCTGGGAGTTCTAGAACCAAGTAGCCAGGAGCTACAAGGTCATTGTGACACCGGAGAAGGCCAGCGTTTGACTACTTAAGAACTTTCGGCATCCAACCACTTTGACGAACACCAGCAAATAAGATATTGAATTACTTGTAAACATTGGCTTTCCGCGAAACCTCGTGGGCCGATTATGGGATTCAGAGACCATTCTTACAAGACTTAAGATTTCAAATTTGGGTTACCCCACGGGGTGGCGGGGCCCTCGGTTCCACCAAAAACGTGCGGCCACCCCCCCCCCATTCAGCTCAGCCCACATCGTTCACCGAGTCATAGAGATCCGTGGACTGGAAGGTGAGCAAAGGCCTGCGCAAGTCCAAGGAAGCTCCAAATCCAAACGGTTTTCGTTCATTTGTTTTTCGCCCCCTGGAAAAAATAAGCTCAGGTGATGTCCCCAACAGCATGTGGAACCCTGGTGGAACTTGGTGGAACCCTGGTGGAACCCTGGTGGAACCCTGGTGGAACCCTGGAAAAAATGAATTTTTGTCCAGTGGTGATAGTTTCTCTTTACATAAAACCAACAGGGAGAAGTACAACACATTGTCTTAAGCAAATGAATGCTTTCACTTGTGTCGTCGGCAGGAAAACCAGGAGTCAGCCGCCCAAACCCTGGTGCTCAGAGGGTGCTGGCCTCCTTTCCTGGAACAAACTCCTGCTGGCAAGCTGCGAGACATAAACTAGATTGCGGTCTGACTGGTTTCCTCAAAGATGAAACTTGAAGAAACCAAGCGCTCGCACCCCAGACGCAAAGTACTTAGAATTGGATCTAAGGATTTTGAAGCCCACATGAGGCAAATTGCGCCAACACACACCAACACTCCTGTCCCGCTGAGAAAGGCGCGGCGAGGTTCGCGGACTAAAAAACAACCGTAAGAAACTGACGGATTCCACGGCCCAAGGGAGGCAATTGAACCATTCTCAGCCCGGAGGGACTCCCACCAAAACACAACTGCCTGGACCCCAAGCAGCCGTGGAACTTTGTACCTGGAACAAGCACTTAGCACCATTCGCCCGTACATAGCTGCACCACCTTAAGCAGAACCCTGCTCCAGTACGCGCTTAGACCAGAGTGGGGCTCCCTTCTAAATGAAAGAGTGAGGCAAGCGTCACTTGCGTCAACGGAACCTCAGCTGCATGCGAGTATGTGACATGGGCAAACAGTGGGAAACAAACAAGTCAAAGGGCCGGCTTGGGACAAGTAACTTGAGTGACAGAGACTG